AAAAAGAACCAAATATTAATAGCTTTCAAAATATTGAACATATAATTTTCCACAGAACCTCACAGTACAGTCGGCATCTAAATAGGATATTGATATGTTCTTTTGAGGGAAATCTCATAACTAGATAAAAACCACGAAACAGATTGGAGCAATGACCAAGATGTGTCCTTGACAGTTCAAATTCTCCTTTTGGATTATCAACAGAAAATATAAGAAATATTCAAAGATTTCATCTCTCATCTGTAGGTCAAAAAATGTCTAACGTGAATCCATAGTAAGGTGACACAGATAAGAGTGTAAACAAATCAACAAGAAAGTAGTGGAAAAATGTGAATGACGTGATTATGTTTTGCAAAGCATGACTTACAAGTACTGCAAATTCGGGAGCAGACCGAGCTGCGAAACCAGTTGACCGGACAAATTTGCGTTTCCGATATCACTGAGCACACACAAAAATAATTTCCATAATTGGAGGATCATATTAATCCTAAAATGCAACTCGTGCAGCTAATCATGGAAAGGACAAAGCAGTCTCACATTCTAGTAACACTATCGTCACCATTGCATGTAACATGAAACCAAGAGCAAGGATTGACAAGTGTAGCATTCCAACTCTGAAGAACGTTGTTAGGATCTGCCAAGTTTTTCTTAAAAGCATTCAAGGCATCGCCTGTCGCGTGTAAATCAATTAGCAAATATCAAGGACCATTCACTTTACAAATTTAAGTTAAGATACTACCGAACAAATCTACACATTAATTTGCAAAGCCAACAAAATATGAGTTAACTAATATATAATAATTCGCCTCAGATGCGCCACACAAATGTTTTTCTTCATTGTTACAATGGTCAAGTCAAGTCAACAGTTAAATTTTACTGAACAGAAAAAAAAGGAGAAAATTTTCCAAAGTTATAGCTAATATAAAACGGTTAGCTTCAAAATAAATCCTAACGAATCCCTCAGCTTTGTAAGCCGAAACTTAATGGGTCTTCAATCTGTGATTTACGTTTACAATAAACAAGAAACAGCCTTGAAACGCATCAATTACAATACATTCAAACTCAATTCAAGTAAAAACGCAATTGAAGATTAAAAATCACTTCAGTTGAAATACAAAACAGAAGAACACCTTCAGCGTTGGCAGAAACCCGTGAAAATTGCGAAATCCCGAAAATTAAGAAGAGAAACCCCGAGATTGTGATCGTAAATACCGACCGCTCCATTATCATTTCACCCCAGCCTATCACTTAAAAACCTGGATTCCCCATTAAAAACCTAGATGTTTCCGCTGTCCGCACGACTATATTAAACTATATAGTAATTGAAAGGAAATAAAATAGGGGGAGTTTGCCGGGGTACTTTTTAAAATAGTTTGGTCAAACAACCAAATTTTCATTTTGACCATTTTTTTTTTGTATTCACCACATTGGCCTATTGTCATTAAAAAGACAATTCTATCCTTATTCATGTTTAATAATTACAAAAATATATCAATTGTTTAAAAGACAATAATACCCTTAATAGTTTAAATAAATTATGTTACTTCCATACGTAAATTTCAAAATCAGTTTTGGTTTATCAGTTTCTCCAATACGGTAAAAAAGAATTTTTTCCTTCCATCTGCTAAAATATTGAAATCTCTCAAAATCATCAAAGGTTCAAGAAAGAAACAATACTCACAGTCGGCACTGGAAATTGGTAAGTGTAAATACGTATTTTGAATTTTGTTTTAGTTAAGTTTACTGTTTGAATCTGTAAATAATTATTTTGAGAAAGGCAGATGAATTTTACAGTATTTAAACACAGATTTATAATTTTTTTATAGCAAAAACAACAAAAAAATTCATCTCTGTATGCATATATTTTACAGGAAAATTTTATAGGTGTCTGTAAAATAAATATTTAAACATTATTTCGTTGAAAAAGAGAAAAAATAAAAAATTAAAGCGTAAATTTCAGATGAAACGGACGAAAAAAGCTGGGCCAAATGTTTCCAGCCGGCCCAGTTGTCTGGGCCGGATGGAAACAGCCGGCCCAGTTGTCTGGGCCGGATGGAAACAGCCGGCCCAGTTATCTGGGCCGGCTGGAAGCAGCCGGCTGTTCCCAGCCGGTTGGGCCGGCTGTTTCCAGCCGCCCCAGCCCTTTTTTTTTTCCCCTTCAGATTTTAGAATTTATTTGTTCATTAATATATGTTTATTGAAATAAATATTAATGAATATTTAAATACTAATTGAAATAAATATTTTTGAAACAATTAAAATAATCAATGAATTATTTAAAGTATTAAATTAAATTAAATATGAAATGAACAATTTAAAAAATTATATATTAATTCTTTATTTTTAATTTGTGGCAGATATGGCATCAGCATGTGTCCCAATTTGTTACTTTGGTGAATTTCAAATGAATAAAAATGCTCAATGGGAATGGAAATAGACGAGTGAAGGAGATGGGGTTAAAGCAATTTTTATAACAAGGAGTACATCGTCCACAGAAATGTACAGTGATATACAAAACATGCTTAACGTCGATCCTTCTCAGTATGATATGGAATTGGGATTTTTGTTTCATAAGCATTCAACCATTTCAATTCCACCTATGAAAGTTACTTCTGAAGTGGAAATGAAACATCTAATTAAATTGAACCAAGGCAGGAAGTCGACTCCTATTTGCGTAACTTTATTGGGGAAGAATGTCCACGAGGGGGAACACGAAGTTTCAAATGAAGAGAATCGTAATGTAAATGATGTTTGGGATACAATTCAGATTGTTCGTGAAGATGATGTGGTTATTCCCGAGACCACTGCTACTCACCATGGTCACACTGTTACGCACAGAATTCCATCGATAGTTGAAGACAACGAGAATGAAAATGCATTTACAAACGAGGATTTGATTGCTTTATCTCGTAGGAGACATGAGTCGGGTGAGAGCTCACAGGCCGGACCGAATACACGGTCCTCTAATTGTTCGCGTGTAGTTCCCGATGATGAAGATGTATATGTCGAGCAACTATTCGAATCAAAGAAAGAATTGCAAGAAGCTGTGCACCGGATTGCTTTAAAACATAACTTCGAGTTTAAAGTGAAGAAATCAAACAAGTCGTTATACACAATTATCTGCGTTGACAACAGTTGTCATTGGCGTTTGCGAGCGACTAAGATGGACACGAATGAGTTCTTTGTAGTCCGTAAGTATGCACGGGAACATACTTGCGAAGTGGGTATTCGTCGAAATGATCATAAGCAGGCCCGATCATGGTTCATTGGTCGAGAAATAATGCACTAGTTTCAGGATCCACGAACGATCTATAGACCTTCGGACATCATTAATGATGTTCGACGTGAGTACGGGGTGGTCATGAGCTATCAGAAGACTTGGAAGGCTAAAGAATGTGCATTGGAGGATTTGATGGGTTCGGCTGAGGAGAGTTATGCTAAATTAGCCAGGTATTTCATTGTTTAAGTGTTTATTTCTTTGTTATAGTAAATTTTAATTATTTAATTTCAATTGTTTATTTATATGTAATTAATTATTTAATTGAATTTTTTATTTTTCTGTTCATTTAATATTTAATATATTATCTAAATTATGATTATTTTTATTTACATTGGCCAGGTATTGCTATAACATGGGAAGAATTAATACTGGGTCGGCATTTTTTATTGAGAAGGATGACGAAAATCGCCTCAGATATTTCTTTATGGCCCTTGGACAATGTGTTCGAGGATTTCGAAATGCAATGGACCCTTAATCTTAGTCGACGGTACAACCCTTAAGGCGAGATACGGGGGCAAGTTGATTATTGCAACATGCCAAGATGCGAACATCCAAATTTACTCTCTTGCGTTCGGCATAGTCGACGGAGAAAATGATGTAGCAATGAGTTGATTTTTCACGAAGTTAAGGGAAGTAATTGGAGATGTCGAAAATCTTGCATTCGTAACCGATCGAGGGCAGTCAATAATAGATGGTATCGCCGAAGTCTTCCCCGAGGCACATCATGGTTATTGTATGTACCATATACAGGGAAACTTGAAGATCAGGTATCGAGGCAATGGCGTAGTTGCGTTGTTTAGGAGAGCTGCAGAGGCTTACAGTTTTGAAGAGTTTGATAAGTTCATGGTCGAAATAGACAGTAAATCGCATGCTGCATGGGAGTATCTAACAGAGATGGGGATTGAACATTGGACACGATCACATTTTCCAGGACGTCGATACAACATGATGACGTCGAACAATGCGGAGTCGCTTAACGCTTTATTCAAGAAAGATCGAGAGTTACCAATTCTTGCAATGATTGAGAACATTCGTGACAAGTTACAACAGTGGTTTCATGATCGACGTGAGGAATCACAGAGTTGTGCAAGTGTGCTAACCCCGGCTCAAGAAGATAAGCTTTTCAAAACTCTAGATGTGGCAAGAAAGGTATATGTAGAACCACTGGATCAATTTCGCTTCTCCGTGAGATGTGCACGTAATTTCGGATACATTGTGAACTTGAATGATAACACGTGCACGTGTAGACGGTTTCAGTTGGAGAGTTTTCCATGTACACATCCAGTGGCAGTGGCTATGCATAGAGGATTACCACCACACACCTTATGCAGTGTGTATTACATGACTGATTATTGGAGAGCAGCATATGCGGAAACAATATTTCCTGTACCAAATGAAGTCGAGTGGGAAGTGCCCGACCACATTCTCCCACTGAATAACTTGTTGCCACCAGCAGTTGGACCACGTACTCCTGGACGTACACGTACGTCTAGAATACCATCTCCCGGAGAGTTTCCCCAGCCTCGTAAGTGCGGTAGGTGCGGTGCAACAGGGCATACTAGAAGATATTGTACAAGTCAGATTCCTCTACATGACAATGTAACGGATGTGTAATTTTAATAACTATTGGCAATGTAATTATTTATAACATTGACGTTAATTATTTATGCATATTATTTATGTTAATTATTTGAAATCGAAACTTTTTCTAGAAACTGCATTATACGGTAGGCTACATTGTAAAATAAATATTTAAATATTACATATACAATCAACATTTTACAATTTTTTCGTAATTACAAATAAATGAATGAATTGTACAATGTTTAAATAAATGTAAAAATATGTACAATTATTTACGGATCCCCATTAAATTCAAATAAATCACATGCTAGTTTATTTCTCCAATTTTGTATCCATGCCTGGTTGATTGCATCAACCTTATGTGCCACACTCAAAAATTCTATGTATTTGATGACGAATATGCCGCAATCACCCATACAATTAAACAATGTTGTATTAGCCCATCGAAAATTAGTTAGAAACTAAGATGTAAATGACAGAAAGAAAATTACAAACACTTACGATATTTGTTGCCTCGTCGTTGTCGTGTTCCGCACGGTGGCCAATCTGTCTTGTACATTGATGCTCGCTCGTCTAGCCATCATGGGAACAA